TGTGAAAAATATTTAAGGCCATGAAATTATGAATGAGCATATAGAAGGAACATGTGTCAGAATATAATGATCCTATAGTGACACTAAATTCTGACAATGGAAATTCTTGTGTTACAAAAGGAGGCATTAAAAATTGTCCAATTAAAAGGGGTTCTGCAATTATGTGTGATTATTTTCCCTATGAGAAAACATGCATCAAGAAATTATTTGCTTCAATTCAAGTTACAATAAATGAAGCAGAATTTGCAATCATAAAACTTGGAAAACGACTTAGACCCCGTTTGTCCATGATTTTTTATTTTTATTTTATTTTTTTAATTAAAAATATATTTGTCCATGAAATTTTGCAAGTTTTTGGAAATTTTTCGAAAATGAGTTTTTCAAAAACTACTTTTTCAAAATTTTGAGAAAAACTTTTTTCCCCGCTCACAAAACTACAACATATTTTCAGTGAAATGCATATCCAAACATAATTTCAAATTTCAAATATCATTTTTCAACTTAACTCCAAATACTACTTTTTTTTTTCTTCAAAAATTACTATTTTTATATCCAAACGCCTGCATAATGCTTTGGTTTGTCCTTTTCGTGCATCATCTATAGCTCACTAAAAAATAGTCTCTTTTTTTTTCTCTTTTTCAAATTGGAACCTTCTATGATACTTTTCTTTTTAAGTTGTTGGTATCTCACACTTTATTGACGTAAATTATCAAAATTTCAGACCGTGACGATTATTTTTTACATTTCAGTACCCAAATTTGAAGCTTTGGATTTCAAAAAGATGTCCCTCTACCAATAAGTTTTTAATAGTAAAAATATATTTATGCGTCTGCAAAGAATGATTAGAATTAACTTTCATTTTTTTTAATTATCTTTCATTTTCTATTATTATAAAGTAAAGGTAATAATTATCTCTGATTACCAAAATAGGGTCCATTGAACAGCTCAAAAGACAAAGGCTATTTTATGCTCCCTCTTTCTACAAGGGGCCTAAAAAAAGAAAAAGAAAAAAACAAGTTGCTTAAGTATACAAATTATTTGGACAACTTTATGAGTCAAAAAGCTAGACAGATATTAACATGGATAATATAAGATTTTAAATTATATGCACTGATTATATAAAACTCAGTAGACTTTGATGAATTGTCAGAGCCGATGTTTTTTTTAGTAGGGCAGAATTAAGTATTAATATTGAATAAGTAGATATAAATGTTAAGTTCTACTACGATAAACTTAACGACGTCAGTTATAGTGATCTTGCTACTTTAAAAAAATATAGTACTAAACGTGCTCCTTTGGGATATTGTAGTTCATCGCTATTATTTAACATGTTTATAACAGGTTGATTATTATTTTTATCAAGTTACCTTAATGCTTGTAATAGTAGAAATTTACTTGTAATTACCTTAAACACTTTCTTTATTTCTGTATTTTTGTTTAACACATTCAAAAATGACAAACAAATGTCCCATTACATGCAAATAGCTTTTCAAGAAAACATATGTAAAGGGTTAAACAAGTAACTTCAGTGCAAAAAGAGACATTTGAAATAGTTAAGCAGTTAAGATAAAAAGAGGACCCCTTGATATGATATTAAAGAAACTTCCCACAAGTCACCATTTAAGTACTTGCAAAAGTATACATAATTGAAAAATAAATTCTTTTTTTTTTCTTTAAGCTTTTTTCATTCTTCATTTTTATTCTCCATCAGCACATGGTATGCTTCTCAAAGCATAATTAGTAAAGGACAGTTACTTCTTGGATATATATATATAAAGAAAATATGAAGCCACATGGAACAATAGAAACATCAACAGTATAATTCAAGAATCACTTCCCAAGATTTCTTGGATTTTTCCAAATCTTGCATGTCACCTTTCTTTCACCTATTCTAGGTATGTGTCCTAAATTTGTATTAAATCATATGGAAAAATTCATCATAATTACCTTGTTTTAATGGAAAATGATGAATTTTTTAATTTGGCACACCTTAAATTCCAAGAATTCAGGTTCCTTAGAATCATGAATGGTTCCACTTTATCTGCCATCACAAGAATGTCTTATTACTAATTAAGCAAGGGAAGTGAAATTTTGAAGGTGAGCAACTGGTAAAATTGCTGCCATGTGACCAGGAGGTCTAGAAATAGTCTATGGCAGAAATGCAAGGTAAGGCCATTGTGTGGCCGATCTCCCTCACGCGGGCATAGCGGGAGCTTAGTGCAGCAATCTGCTTCTTTTTCTTAGTTATGGCTTTTATGGAAACTGAACAATATTGCTGATGTGATGTGAGAAGTTGAGCATGGCTTTGTTCATTCTTCTTGTTTTTTTTCTCTTTTTCCAATGTAAATTCTTGGAACTTTTTATTTTTATTGAAAGAAATAGAACTGCCAACTCAAAGAGATTATCTATACTCTTATCAACAATAAGGTAACTGTTTAAAGAAGATGGTGACTTGTTGTTTTGATGATTCAGTTTGCTGCAGTCTAATGAATTTCTAAAATGGGAAAGAGAAGAAGCTGGTTTACATTTGTGAAAAGACTACTTTTCATTCCTGAGGCAAAACCAAAAGCTGAAAAGGTTTGATTTTTTCCAATTTCTTGATTTTCCTTTTTTTTGTTAAGAACTGGTTTATATGATTTATAACATGAATGTGGAATTTTTTTAATTTTATTTTCAGAAACTAAGGAGATGGAAATGGTTTTTGGGAAGGTTAAAATACAAGCAGTGTCCTCCAGCAATTGAAGCACCTCAGAAAACACTAATAACTGAGGCAACAGAACAGCAGAGGAAACATGCTTTGGTTGTTGCTCTAGCAACAGCAGCTGCAGCTGAGGCTGCTGTAGCTTCTGCCAATGCTGCAGCTGAAGTTGTCCGGCTTACTAATGCTCCGTATGAGCTCGAAAGGAAACGGAAAAATGCTGCCATTAGAATCCAAAGCGCTTATCGCGCACACCTTGTGAGCATTCTCCCTGGTTTCCCCTTAATTTTCCACAATCAATAGTCAGTTCATTATAAAAGAATTATCGTGCATTTGGCCCATGAAAAAGAATTAGGTTTGCACGTCAAAGGAGGCGTGTTGAAGATATAATTAAGTAAAAGTGTGTTCTCAACAACTTAAACTTTTAGATGAGATGATCACACAATTCAACAGAAACAATTTCATCGCGAACTGGTTGGCTTGTTATGGAAATATGATGTGTATTTGATTGCGTCATGTTGAATTTTAGTGAGTAATTAATTATGAAAAGGATTATAAGGAAAGAAAATGCAGATATTGCTTTGGTTTCTAAAAATCTTAGTATACACTCCATTTACTGATGAATATGATAAGAATTGAAGTTCAATATTTTGTGAATGTTTAGATAAGAATTCAAAGATAACTTTTTCATGTCAATCTCTGATGACCAATGGAAAAAATTAAAAGCAGTACAGCTGTCGAATGATGCACCAATTCGAGCCTGTGTGTATAGCTGTAATTCTTGTTATTTTCCTTTGCATTATTAGAACAGTTTCCTCTTCTTTGCTGAAATGGACTTATATCCAAACTGTGGTTCTGTGGAATTTGTTGTAGGCAAGGAAAGCATTAAGTGCAATGAAAGGACTGGTGAAGCTTCAAGCAGTGATCCGAGGTGAACTTGTGAGACGAAGACTCGTTGCCAAGTTGAAGTGCATGCTGCCCTTTCAAATGTCAAAGCCGCGAGTTTATCATATCAGAGTTCCTACTATTGAAGAATACTATGAGAGTATCGAAAGGAAACTTGATAGTAGCCCGAAGGGAAGTGTGAAATCTAATGAATTAAAAGTAAGAGGATTAATATCATACAACATTTATTGTTGTTTGAGCCTCCAATTGAACTTAAATTTGTATTTGTTTTACTCTAATGATTAAGTATCTCTAACATGGCTTTGCTTATTGGCAGCTAAAATGCAACAGCCAAAGGACTTGGGATTTCAGTTTGGCCTCAAAGGAGGAAATTGAAGCCTTGTGTTTAAGAAGACAAGAAGCCATTTCCAAAAGAGAGCGTATGATGAAATACTCGTTTTCACATCGGGTACTTCACTAGCATTTAGATTCTTTTCAGTTTCCTTTTTATGATATTTACTAAATACATGATGTTTTATGGTTGAATAATTTAAAATGGTTTTTAGGAGCAGAGAAATGATCACGTTCTGCACGAACCATTATTCAGTAAGGAAAATCGTAGGAGCAGCAGGTTCGATCAATGGGCAGAACTTGAAGCACAGAGAAAAGCAGAAGTATTTGAGCAACTGAGGTCATTTGCAGACTCAAGTACTATTCATCTAGGTGACATGAACCAGATGGCACAACTCAAAATGAGAGAGGCGCGTAAACAAGATTTCATAGAGGACTTAAATTCTCCGTCATCGCTACCAAGGAGATCATTTTCTCATGTGAAACAGAAATCAATTGGTGATGATAGCTCTTTACCAGGTTCTCCTATGTTTCCTACTTACATGGCTGCTACAGAATCTGCAAAAGCAAAGACAAGATCAATGAGCACACCGAAGCAACGGCTAATGTTGCATGAAACATATTTAGGTCAAAATTCTCCTCACATGCTCAAGCATTCTTCTTGGACTTCATTTAATGGTGAAGTGAACAGCATTACCACAAAGAGTGAAATCTCTCAGCAGACAGCTATAAATGTAAAAGGGTTTTGTCGAGGTTGAGAAGCTTATTTCCAGCAGGGCAAGACAGAAACTTCAAAGTGTTTGTTAGTTATAGAACTTGAAAACAAATAATCAAGAGAAGCTATAATTTGGATTTGTAGCTGCTTGAGTAATTTATCCAAATTAATTGAGGAAAAGAAGCATTTTTCTTTTTTGTTTCTGGTTTCATACTTTTACACACTTCACATATATATATGTAAATAGTTCAAAAATCTCTACTTTCTGGTTTGTTTTTGCCAAATTTTGTGTGCTTCAGAGAGTTTGAGTTTGTTTAAGGCAGTGATGTTTGATGGCTTTTCTTGTAAGTGTTTCATTATTGTAATAACTGCTTTCTTTATGAGCATGATATATAGTTTCAGTACATAGTGCCAATGGACTACTTTCTCTTCATACAAAGGAAAGTCCTTATTCCTATTAATGCTCTCCTCTTGCTTTTAACTAGTTAAAACTGATCTGGTACTTTGGTTGCATGTTTGCTGAAAATAGTCCAAAATGCTTCTCAATTTCAGGGTCTTTCTGATCTTCATCAAACAGAGCGAAAACGTAGGTCTCTATTGGACCGGAAGGCCTTTTGGGACTCCCTCCCTTCACGTGACTAATCAAGTTGTTGTTATAAGTCCTGGCATTGTCAATGGATGTTAATTGTCCTGCTCCAGCTGAAGGCCAACCACTCTCTGATACAACAATCTCCAAAGACGAGCCACTAGCCTTTTCAAGGGCCGAGTATGTGGCATCTAAGATGGCATCAAAAAGGTTTCGGTATCCTCTTCCGTTATCATTTACAACAACTTCAGAGGATGTAAAAAGTGCATACTCAAGCTTAATATCTGCATTGTTTGCTATTGCAAAGTAAGGATAAAGGTTGACAAGCAAAGGGGCGCGATTGGTCACTAGGAAGTTGATGATAGGCTCTATAAACTGTCGAACATCATCTTTGAATCTCCCATTTGATGGAGGAGAAGTGTCTGTAGTAAGTCCAGTTTCAATAGCTGTGGAGACTTTGATCTGGTTTCCAAGACCAGCACCAGATATGGCAGTTTGAATGTTTCGCATGGCGTTGAGAAGGACAGGTACATACTTAGAGTTTTCATTTAAGGGACTAACTTCATTTCCAACTGCTATATACCTGAACTTGACATTACCATAGTTCCTAACATTGTTTTGGACCCAAGTATCTGCATTGGCTTGGCTAGCAGCAACATTCTCAAGGTCCGGATTCGGGACACCTAGCATGAGCTCAATGTTGGAGCCTCTAAGCGCTTCGAGAGTTGGCTGGTCAGGATCATATATTCTCATCCTACGAATGTTGTTTCGGTTGCATAGCGACACAACATCTGCTGGAGATGGTAATCCATTCCCTTGCCTTCCATAACAAACTCCTGCTTGAGCACCTGCATCACATTAAACATGGCATTTCTTCCTATAAGCTCATGTTAAGTTGCCTTGAATTGCTTATTACAATCCATTAGCACCCTCAAGCTATGTTACTCGGATCATTCATCGTCCTCATTACACTTGTGTTAGTCTATGTTGCGCGGACTCTCCAAAATACTGCCGCACATGTGTCGGATTCTTCAAAAATACACTGCTTTTGGAGAATCCGACACGCACCCTGCGACATTTTCGAAGAGTCCAAGCAACATAGATGTTAGTCAGGGAGGACGTGAATACGGGTACTCCGTTCAAACCCGAGTCTAGTACCTCCATGTATCCAATACTCATGCTTGAGTCCATGTAACATAGTAGCTATTTCATATGGTCATTCAACTTTATCCACTATAATAAGGTCACAAAACTAGTTTTTTTTACGCGAGAAAAGTCAAAAATACTGACGTTAGATTATAATACATTACTCGGCTCATATGTGCGTGTAAAGTTCAATGACCATACATAAAATTATCCCTATAACATAGCCCTCAAGGGCAATTGGAAAAACAGTAGTGATTATACTATAAGCAGAAAATTGTAGTTTTCTATGCTAATATTGTGTCTAAGAAGAGAGGGATACCTGTAAAATCCAGGGTAGCTAATGTAAGTACACTAAGGAGAAGCAGTGTGACAATTAAATGTGCCATTTGTAAGGAAAACAAGAATTGAGCTATGGCTATAACAAAACTAGTAAAAGCTTATCATTATATAGAAAACTTCTACAGTCAAGTCAAATCAGTCCATGGAAAAAAAGAAAAACAAACAAATTGAATCATAAGCTCTAGAACCTACATCTAAGAGATAAATTCTTGGATTTATTTCACTAGGTTTGAAAAGTATGCAACCCCTTCAATTCCTTGATGAGAATGACTTATGACTATTAATTTGAATTTTCTTAGCAGCCCTTACCATAAATATCTGCACTAATTGTTGGAGTAAATAGGTAGAAGTTTCACATATGGTTAAAAAAAACCATTATTTCCACTAAACACGTGTGTACATAGAATTGGTTTGGACTCCACATATGGCACCAACCATTGATTTTACCTCAAAAACATGCAAAGTAGTTCAAGCATCTCAAGGACTCAAAGATGTACCTAAGTATGGTTTGGCCGTCAATAAAGTGAGTGAATATGCGAAAATTCCAGTAAAACAAAAAAATTAGGTGATTTTTCGCATCTGTCTAAATCTTGATAGTGTTTGTTCTACTGGACACTAGCACGTATTCAATGTATCGAGGTGCACACAAGTTAGCCAAAAGTTAATAAAAAAAAAAAGGAAAATCAAGGATTCAAGATATATAATCAAAGTTCATATGCTGTTTGGTTTTAGTTCATAGCTCTAGTAATTAAAACAATGTCTTTCAATCCTAACTCAAGATTGTTATTTATAATTTGTGTCTTAATCTCTTCAATGATAGTAGATCAATTTTTAAACTTCTTTTTTCGTGAAAACCATATAATTCTCTCAGCAGATATGTCAATTTGAAAGTAACATAATAGGATCGAGACATTTTCTCAATAACTTATAAACTTCTAGAAAAACTTGTTCACATTTACTAAAAGATCAAAAGTTTTAAGTACATGTCACGTGTCATTATCGTTCATCAACATTGATCACTCAATTTTGATTAGTAAATATTTATTCCGTAAATAATATTAAATCAGGAATAAAAATCCAACATTGTGGATCTTCTATAAAATGTTAAAATTAACACCATCTAAAATATTTACATAATTCTAAAAATGATGGTGCTAAATGACCAATGCCCCTATATATTCCCCTATGTTTGGTTTACGCGCTAGTTATGGCGGAGATTACAATGCAGACGTGATTATTTATGTGATGAACAATAATTAAGAGAATTTTTATGCTATGGTTAATAAAGTAGGAATTGTTATAAAATGATCAATAAAGAGTGAATATTTTGTACCCAAAAAAAGGAATTTTTATGTGAGGATTACTTATATTAAGGGTATTTGTGGCCTTTAATTGATTTTCGCATAATTTAATGAGAGTATCATTTAATATGGCCAACCAAATGTTACATAAGATTATGCAGGAATTATTTTTTCTTATACCACTACGCAAATGCAACATAAATTATCGCGAAAAATTTAAAAATAGCTATTTTTACGCGTGGTCAATCAAATTTAGCCACATAATCAAAAGTCAACTATAACGGCCCGACCGGTCGTTTTGAGATTTAGCGCGTCGTTCATCGGTTTGAGCCCTTGAGTAGCTTCACTTCAGGTATTATGACTTGTACGCGTGGTCGGAATTTAATTTCGGAAAGTTCAGAGTTGATTTGGAAAGAAAATTCTAATTTCGGAAGCCTTAAGTTGGAGGAATTGACTAAAGTGTGATTTCTGAGTAAACGATCTCGGAATTGGGATTTGAAGGTTCCAATAGGTTCGTATGGTGATTCTGGTATTGGGAGCGCGTCCGAAAGTAGATTTGGAGGTCCGTAGGTCATTTCGGGGTCATTTGGCGAAAGTTAGAAATTTGAAGGTTTTTAGAAAGTTTGACCGGGAGTGGACTTTGTGATATCGGGGTTGGATTCTGATTCCGGAAGTTGGAGTAGGTCTGTAATGTCGAATGTGACTTGTGTGCGAAATTTGAGGTCAATCGGACGTGATTTGAAAGGTTTTGGCATCGAATGTAGAAGTTGGAAGTTCTAAAGTTCATTAAGCTTGAATTGCGGTGCGATTCATGATTTCGATGTTGTTTAGCGTGATTTGAAAGCTCAACTAAGTATGTATTGTGTTTTAGGACTTGTTGGTATAATTGGTTGGGGTCCTGAGGGCCTCAGGTGGATTCCGAAAGGTTAACAGATCGATTTTTGAACTTAAGAATTTCTGAAGCTTAATGCTTCTGGGGTAATCGCACCTGCGTGACTTTGGCTGCAGGTGCAAGATCGCGGGTGTGGAAAATTGCTCGCAGAAGCGAGAATGTACTAGAGCTGGGGTAGCCGCAGAAGCGGACTGGAGAAGCGCACCTGCGAGTGCGCAGGAGCGAGGCAGCTGTCGCTGGTGCATAAAATTTGCGCAGATGCGCGAGATCAGCTCACACCTGCGATGCCCGCAGAAGCGAAGAGACTTCCGCATGTGCGAGTTCTTGGCTGGGTAGTGAGGACTGCAGGAGCGGCTATTGGGCCGCAGGTGCGAAGGTCGGGCTGGGCAGAATGTTGTTAATGCGGGGTTTGGGTTCATTTCACCCATTTTATTTCACACGGCCTGGGCGATTTTTGGAGCTTTTGAATAGGGGATTTCATCATCAAGCATGAGGCAAGTGATTTCTACTAGATGTGAGTTACATACAAGATTTATACATGCATTTATGCATGAAAATTTGTAAAAATTTGAGATTTTGGTAGTAAACCTAAAAATGGATATTTTTGGATTTCGACCGCGAATTTGGGCATGAAATTGAGAATAAATTATATATTTGAGTTCGTGGGGTTATGAGTAATGTTTATCTTCAAAAAATTTCAGAATCCAGGCACGTGGGCCCGAGGGTAATTTTATCGACTTTTCGAGCGGAGTTGGGAATTGTTGTAAATGGAATTATAATTAGTATTAGAGTAGACATTTATGGATTTGCACATTTACTGACTAGTTTTGGAGCGATGGGCATCGGTTTGAGTTGTTGGAAAGGCTTTGGAGCCGGTTATGGGACTTCAGAGCGAGGTAAGTCTCCTTTCTAACGTTGTAAGAGGGAATTAACCCCATAGGTGAATCAAATTATTGTGTGCTTCTATTTGTGGGGGCTACGTACGCACGAGGTGACGAGAGTCCGTGCGTAATTACTATTATGCTTAGGTGCGAGTAGTCTATGACCCATATCATGTTGTACTTGCGATGTCTGCGCCCTGCTTATTAATTTAATCATTTAAAACATTTAGAAACTCGATAGAGGAATTGTAAAAAGGTTAAACTTTATTTACTTGACCGTTAAATGAGAATTTGTAATTCTTGAAATATTTACCCCTTAATAAATCTTAAATTGGTTGTTTAATGTGTTTTCTCTTTTATGGAGCGGGCCAAATGCTTCCGTAGCAGATAGATGCATCTATGGTTCGTGCCGTTCGACCCTCGGCAGTGCACAATTTAAATATTATGTTGGATCGGGCCGTACGACTTCCGCATAATTTGCGCATGATAAATCTTTGGAACCAATTATAATTGATATTGCTTCTTTGGCTTGAGATATAAATTGTTAAATGGCGAGAATAAGTTTGAAATTTTTTTTTATTAATAAAAGAATTGTCCACTCACTTCTTGTTATTGAGTTTATAATTATTTCATACAATCCATGCTTAAGTATAATATCGGTATTTACCGTTAGCCCACAGTAAGTGTCGGAGTCGACCCCTCGTCACTACTTCTTCGAGGTTAGACGGGATACTTACTGGGTACGCGTTGATTTACGTACTCATACTACACTTGCTGCATATTTTTGTGCAGGTACATATATGTCTAATGGCCTTGTGGGCGCGGAGGCGCGATTATTGCGGAAAATTAGGTGAGCTGCATTCTATACTCGATCCTTAGCCAGTAGAGTCTCCTTCAGAGTATTTATATTTCTCCTGTCCAAATTTGTATTCCGGACAGATGTTGTATTTTATTTTACATTCCTAGTTGAGGCTCATGTACTTGTGACACCGGGTTTTGGGGTGATTTTGGGTTGTCCTGTATTGAAATTGTTAAAAATAGTATTATTTACTTTGTAAATTTCATCTTTTACTATTTAATTGAAGGAAATATGACTTCAAAAATATTAAAATGAGAACCAAATTAAGTATTTATTTTTGGCTTGCCTGACAGCGGTGTCCGGCGCCATCACGACCGTTAATGGATTTTGGGTCGTGACATCAATTATATTTACCACTAAATTAGCACAGAAATAATTTGTTGACTAAAATACCCCTACTCTATTTATATAATTTACGCGACAAGACCTCATACTCTGTTTCAGCAGAATCTTGCGGCGCCAATCTACAGATTGAAGTAAGCTCTCACAATTATTTTTCTGATTCTTCAAATTTTCTGGTTTGATTTTTTTGTTCTTCACAATACGTTAATCTATGATTTTTCTCGTTTGTAATTCAGATCGTAACTAATAATATCTGTATTGTTATTTATTATTATAAATTTTATATGAAAAACGTTTATTCTGTGCTTAATTGTATAATATATAAATGTAATTTAATTTCAAGTACTTTATTCTGTCACTAAACACCGAAAATGTCTAGTTCATTAAAAAAAACACAGTTAAACTGATGGCAGATGAATTAATTGCAGAACAAAACATCCAGTATAATATACTGGACCTTTCTGATAGATATATTAAACTTACAAACTTCCAAAATATTATACGGAGAGTATGTATGATTCAAACCAAGAATATATCTAAATATTTAAGATTCACCTACTATCCTGAATAAAAAGATGGAATTTTGTCGTTAGATATGTCAAAACTACAGACCCTCCAACATATAGTATTGGAGGTATCTTTGATTCAAACTACTACAAAAAATTATGCATAAAATGGTATAGAACACAACACTAGTATAAAATGCTGGACTTGTCTTAATTAATATGTAAAACTCAGACACTTCCAGCAAATTATACTGGAAGTATCTGTGATTCAAAATAGAAGAACACATATAAGTTTTTAAGGTTCCCCT